AGAACACAGCCAGGCATTTTCGATTTTTACTCAACGCACAGCACGACGTCGTGTACAGAGTGCAAGCAACAGGTAAAAGTGAATATTCGAAAAACAAAGTTAGTTTTGTCTCTGAACGTGTGGTCTTAAATTATATGCATACAATTTCATTAAATAGGTCTAGTTTTTAGATTCTAAAATAAAGAAGCTAGTCTGAATATTTGTTCATATGACAAATGGTCAGAAATACTTCTTCAATCGACATCATCAAACATCGAAAAAACTTCCTCATATTCTAAAAACAATATCAGACACACATTGTATCAAACAGTCCGCAACTAAGTGAAAAAATTCCATCATTAAATAGACGGTTTGTTTAGAATAGTATGATAATTCTGCTTTAGCCTGTTAGTTAATAATCCGTAATCAAATCGATTGTAATAATAATATGTAATTATTTCTGATAGTCTCTCTACGTGTTTTAAACTTTTCAGCCCAATCTCTATGGTATGATGATGTGAAACATGTTGGAGCGGCTTTAGTTGTACATGAAGACGCGTGTTATATTAATCAGGGCCCATGACAAGGTCAAGGAAGCATCATGCAACATAGTCAGGAATTTTCTAAGGGTGTGGGTGTAGGTTCATTCTATTTTAATCTGCATCCATAATTCTTATTGTATTCTTGTTAAGATCTTTCTCTGATTGACCTACTACTCTTGATTGGATCCTTGTATCAGAATTCAGAACAGATCGTGACTAAAACTTAATTAAATTATGTCAATATTCTGTCTGCCAGAAGTCCAAACAGGCTACGAGGCCTGCCGGCCTGCCTGTCTGTCACAGGCACAGGCCACGATTTTGAGGCCTGAAACTGTCACAGAAAGGCCAGACCGATCCATAGAACAGGTCAGGCAGGCCACCTGGGCTGTTTACTTTTTTTTCGAAATCGAAGTTTCATCTGATAATTTGATGATGTTCTTAGCAAATAGATACAAACTTCATTAATTTTCAGAAAAACCACATTTCAGCGTGATGAATTAGACAAATACTGCAGAATGATTATTAAAGTTACTGATAGAAAAACAATTCCCTTACCATTGTGAAGAGATCGTGAGCACACATTTCCATAGTTATTATTATCTACTTGTCATGTTTCTCAATTTTAGATAATTTAATTGAGTCAAAATCCTTTTTTCTCTTGCAGATTTACCATTGATTGAATTTTGTTCCTCTCTTGATCCCAATTCTTCCAGTGACATCATGATCTGACGGGAGAATTTTATTAAGAATATTCTTGAACAAAAACCAGATATGTTCCACATGATGACTACCTTAGCATTGTTTTAATTTTGTTTACGTACCATCAGTGTTCAGTTTGTAAATTTTTAATCGATAATGAAACTTTTCAACGTATGTGAATGCCTGTGAAATTCTCAATATTTAGAGACACCAACAACTCTGAAAGAGGGTAGAGTTCGAAATTGATATTATTTACACAACCCTACCTGGTCGTGCTTCTTTTTTATTCAGCTGAAGGATGGTCTTTCTTTTGAATGCAGACAGTCATAATCACCTTCACTTTTATTTATACAATGCCTTTAACAATTAAATATCGGATGGTCCAAAAGACATACGGAACTTTTTAGGCGAAATTTTACTATTTATGCAATTTTATTAATTTTCTTCTAAGTTTATGTTGAAAGATATGTGCCGCAAAGTTCTCTTCAAAAATTCTATATAATGTTTTATTACAAAGTATAAGAACAGGAAGCTACATGAAAAATATTTAAGGTCTCCGAAGCTACCAGCTTTCTAAAGCACGTTTTGATTCCTTAAATTTTTGCTAAGCAGTGACAAAAGTATAAGCATATATGAAACCAAATTTTCTGTTGCGGTGAATAATGCAGATCTAGTCCTTGTAACAGAAGTTATGCAAAAAGTTGATTCTCGGTCTATTAACATCACATATTTTTAATGGATTAGAAATCGATAACAAATAGACTTTGATTTGTTTTTATTGTAACCGATCCGTTAACAATTGACAATTGATAAAAGAACTATGATTGTAGTCATTTAAAATGAATCCTCTCTGACTTGTACATGACTTATTTTTTACATGAGAGTATGTCCGCAGTTTTACCAGGTAGGTCTTGTAGCTATCTCTGTAGTGAAGTTACTTGTTTATTCAGAACGATGCCAATTTTTGCCGAGCGATTTTGACTTGAAATCAGCCTTTCGTTAGAGAAGATATTTTTTTGTGAACTGAAAACTATGCTTTGTTTATACTTCGACTGATTCGACTTACCGTTGAAAATGGATAGTTTTTGTTCCACCCTTAGTTTCATATGCTCTCAAATAAAAAGAAGGATGACACCTCTGTTTAATGGAAAGTTGAAAATTCTGTTGGATTTTCAATCATAGACTTTACTGTAATATATAGATTGAATTCGGTGACTAGTGCGACTTTTTATAAAGATTACTACTTATTTCTACTGTATTTTTACCATGATAGTGACGTGAAAAAAAATACACAGGCCTAGACAGATAGAACTTTTATTTTTAACAGAAGCGAAAATGTTTTGTAATTGACAATATCAGCCAAGACAGACTATCGAAAATGACAGAATTTACTTTTGCAGAAATACTGCAAAAGTAAATTCTGTATAGACTATCTTTATGATTGAACTAACAGATATTGTGCAATTACATCGGCACTATTACATAGTGATATATACACCACGATTATTGAATGTTTTTCGTTCTTCGTATAGTATACATGTAGGCTATTTATAACTAGCGAACTATTATTTTTTACTATACAATGACATCATTATACATTCTTTTTCTTTTTTATCTTCGATCTATACGAGATAGATCGAAAATAACTTGCAAATGTGAGTTCTGTCATTTTCGATAGTCTGTCTTGGCTGATATTGTCAATTACAAAACATTTTCGCTACTGTTAAACATAAAAGTTTTATATTTCAATATTAAGTCGTTCATTTACTTATATACTAGACAGATAGGCCTGAGAAAATGGCATGCAAGCAGATCATGCCGAGAAAATCAGAGGACAGTCACAGGCAAGTCAGGCCTTCAAAAAGTGGGCCTGTTTGGACCTCTGCTGTCTGCTATCTGTGTGAGAACCATAGTTAAGCCCTCAATTCTTAGTTTAGAAAAAAACCTGCACAGAAACTTGAACAAATCTTAAAAAGAATTCTGTGTCACTGTGAGAACTTTCGTAAACAGGAATTACTAGAATTTGAGATAAGATCCTAAATAAAACTTAACTAAAGATTCAAGATCCTAACAGATCCTTTAAGGATTCGTCCAAGAATAAGTAGGATTGAGACTAGAGTTGTTAAGTGAAACTGGAGGAGAATTCGATTATCTTACTATTTATTTCTAAATTGATTAACAATCAGGTCTTACAATAGTGAGAGCAAGTATATATCTGAAAGTTGTCTGCAATTCTCTTCTGCTTCTTTATACACAACCATCTTTGTGGCAAATATCGATAAATGATTTACACATTTATATATTGAAATGAATGAGTCTAATTGAAATATTTGTTTTCGTAATTAAATAAATCCATGGTCGAAAAATCTAAAATGATATGTTCAAATGTGTGTTACGGCCTGTACGGCAGACTTCAAAGAGGGATGAATCCAACTTTCTCGTTATATGATTGAGCAAACATAATCTATTGTGTTTCATAATATTTCAGCTGTTCACCTGTGATTAATTAAGAAAGGCTTTGTAGTTTATGAAATGAAAACATCTGATTTTCAAGCGAATTCACGTAAGAAGACTGACTTAGAAATATTTGAAAAAATATGTGAATAAATTCATAAGAAAAATACCACTTTTGGAAAAAGTATTTTTCAATTTGTTTTGAGCTGATTAAGAGAAAAATGACCAAAGAAAATAAGAACTTCAATATAAGATTGTCAAAGATCCAGAACATTCCTTAGGAATGTCTTAGTATTCTCATGCATGCACAGCTATAAAAACTGGCAGGCATCGAAAACTTTCCTATATACTCTCTCTTCTTTAAATTGTTTAGTATTGGTCATTTTGATTAAAAAAAAGTTCATTTTAGCGTTAAAAAAGGATGAAGTTAGAGTCAGAGTACTCTAAAAATCACTGTAATCAGAGATGGAACCGGTACCGGTTTCCGGCCGGTAACCGGTAGATCGACCTGGTTGACCTTTTCAGACTAGTACCAGTACCAGTCGTCAAAATTTCAGACTGGTTCCTTCTCTATATCAGGTATGTGATACAACTTGGCACATCAGGTTTGTCATTCGATAAACCGAATTTTCCATATCTAAACTACTCTTTCTCTACTACTCTGCATTATCGATATATCATTCGTTGCCGATAGAATGGTCGGTTACCGGGACCAGTCTTCAAAAATCCAGACCGGCTCCATCTCTGACTGTAATACCTTGAAAGTGATCGTTCATTGAGTATCCTTTAACATTCTGTCTGTACCTTCGTCAGATTTCGATACAAATGGAGACTATTTTTACGAATATGATTAGCGTCAAATATTCTATAAAATAGGCTATGTGGAAAATTTTGGAAGACCTTCTTGATTTTATGATTGACTACGTATAGGAAAAGATTTTTTTCTCGTCACTTTCTCTCTAACTAACCTCAGAAAAGTTAAAACAAAATCTTTTCTCGAAAACGTCATGTTTTTCGTGAGTTTATTCATATGATTTCCTTCAGCACAGTCAATTTTCATGCGTACTACTAGTTAGCTATTCATTTATTTGCAATGCTCTGACGTTTGTTTTCGTCTAGTCATAAATCATGAAAATACAGAAAATGACAATTTATTTCTATGAATGTGTTGTTTTTTGTTTTCAAGCACGATTTTATAGAATATTTGATAAAATAAAACTTTTCTGCTTTGTTGAAGATAAAGAAACTGATCATACAGAAGTGATAGTGTTCAAAATAGTTCAACGAAATCAGGATCAAGTTTGAACAGCCGTGATAACAAATAACATGGCTGAAAAGAATGGTTTACTTGAAACATCTTCAGAACTTGTAGTAAATCGTCCACCACAACCACCTGGGCCTGCCTTGGGACCATACTTTCAGTTTATCACAACGGATTTGGAAAAGATGTTATGGGTCGGAAGTGTCCTAATATTTCGACATGTTTCATATAACCGACCATCAATCCAATTTAAAGCAAAGGTTAAAGTTGATTTCGATTGGGAAACGTTATACGAAAATTTATTCGATATGCGAGCTTATCGAGTTAATCTCAATATTGAATTACGAAGAGGCAAGAGTGATGACAAAGTCGATTGGACCATTGATTGGGGTGATGGTGAAACAAATGGAGCGTTTTATATTGCTCAATATGATCAAAAATGGCGTGGTGCATTCTTTTCCTGTAATGGTTTTGATGCTACTGTTACGAAAGAAGTTGCATTAGGTCTAACATATAATGCTGTTTGGAATCATCTTCTTTCTGTTCATGAAAAGCAGCCATTTCATCTTCTAGTTTGGGGTGGAGATCAAAATTACAATGATTTTGTTCTTGAAGACATTCCATTTCTTCAGACTTGGTCACGTATGGAATGGAATAAAAAATGGAAAATGGATTTTACCGAAGAAGCAAAACAAGAAATTGAACAATATTATTTTAATAATTATACCGAACACTGGGAACGTCGACCAGAAATGAAACAAGCATTAGGATCAGTTCCAAGTATTATGATGTGGGATGATCATGATATTTTCGATGGTGCTGGATCGTATCCACCTTTACTGCACGATAGTCCAATTATGACGGGATTATTTGAAATGGCACAAAAAATGCGCCTTCTCTTTCAACATCATACTACACCACGGAAAGCTCGACAACATCGATTATTCGGTTTTCGGGGTCACAACTTTCTTGTTCGGTGTGGTCCCAATTTAGTATTTTTGGGTACCGATGGTCGTTCGGAACGCGATGAAAAAACAGTTACACATGAAAATACATGGAATATGATTTTCAATAAATTGGATAATGAGCTACACAATGTTCAACATTTGATTGTTTTATTAGCTGTTCCATTTATATTTGCACGTTTTAAAATGGCTGAATCATTGCTTGAAACATGGAAAAGATTGACTATGAAATGCCAAAATATTCCACTTAGTGAACAAACAAATTCAGTTTTCGGTTTGCCTGAACTCTATGATGATCTTCTCGATGAATGGACACATGAAGCACATTTGGAAGAACGAAGCCGTGTTCTTGTTCGTCTTCAAGCACTTGCAGAGAAGAAACAAACAAGAATAACATTTTTTAGTGGCGATGTTCATTGCTGTGGTGTCGGTCGATTTCGAACTCGAGACAATACTCCACCACCTGTTAATGACTCGAAATTAATGTATCAAATAATTTCATCTGCTATCGTCAACAGACCACCACCAAGAATAGTTATTCGTGCGGCTCATTTTTTCGGTACTAAATGGTATCCAATTGCTAATACTGAAGAATCATTGATTGAATTCTTCGATCAAGCACCAGAATATGGAGCAAAATTATTTCTTAGAAGATTACTTCCCAATCGAAATTGGGTTTACTTTGAACAATGCGAACCAATGAATTCAGTTCCTGCTGATAGTGTTAGTCAAAGTGGTTTTTTGGACAATTACTTTTGGCCCATTATAGACTATCTTCTAATATTGATTGGTTTGGGTTTAATTGTTCGTTGGAAAAATGAAAAAAGAACATCAACAGTAACACCTGAACGTCTGAATAGATCATTGCCATCGTCTCCTTCGAATAATCAATCGACAAAAGAAATAAATAACTTAAAAGTACAATTTTGGTTAGAAAATACAGAGAAAAAGAAAGGTGGAGCACTATTTTCAAATTATGATCTATATATTCCTGACTTTCAATGAATCTTATGATAGATATTTATTGAAGTGAACAGACCAACCGTAACTCAAACAGTTTAAGTGAAGACTTTTCCAGTTTTTCTAATTTATCAATGCCCAGTAGAATCACTCACAACCTCTTTATCACGAACTTCATTAGAGATAATAAAAATAGCTTAAAAAATGTATTGCACTACCTCATTTCTATTCTTGTTTCTAAAACTCTACTCATTCTAGATTTTTTTTTCTGAATAAAGTATAAGTGGCAGTAAGACAACTCTTTGTGTCGTTAGCATTTATTGAAAAGAATTATATAATTAGACTGTTGATGTGGTTTTTCTCTGCATCCGCAATCATACTCTAGCTTCGAAAGAAAACAAAATCAATTGAACTATCAATGTTGGCGTATACTCAAGATGATCAAATGATAAGAGATATGGATCTGTAAAACATTGTTGTTGGAACGCAGACAAAGCTTCTCACAGATAGTACTATGAATTAATTGAGAGCAACAAGTAGTTATGGCGTTGTATTTAACATAAATTCTTGCCAATAGCTTCCGACAGCGGTCTCAAACTTTGTACGATCAACCTTACACTTCAAGTCAGTATTTTTAGAATGGACTTAGGGTAAAATAAATCGAAAAAATAGAAAAGAATATACTAAAATGTTGTAAGATCAAGAGAGATGAATTAATTATCATTTTAAATGCAATGAAAGAAGAATTAAAGCATAAAAATTGCGAAACTAATGAATTGAAGAGAAATCCACGATTACACTTTGATCACGAGGAAATACCCATATCAGATATGAATTATTATGTATTGATTAGGCTGCCTCGTGAACAAATTAACGATTTCTTTTTTAAATACAATATTCAATCTTAAGTGATACTGATATTAGAAAGCCACGAAACAGCTATTACGAGTCTTCTAGTTAAATTAAGATTTGGTTCAAGTCATCACTTTCTTTTCGCTTGCAACCTAAAAAAGGCACATCACAGCTAAAGAAAATATCTGTTTTTTATTTCTATTTCTTCTACGTATTTTCTTCGATCCATCCAAAGACTTTTTTTCGTCAATTCATTCCTTTTAGTTGTTTCTTAATGTACTAACCATCATATAGCTGTACATAGACAATCTTACCGACCAACTTTCTTACATATGTACCGTTGTTCTATGGATAACTTGAAGATGATATCTCTGCTTATTTTATATCCTTTGATTATTGAAAATTTGATAAGTTATGTTTTTATAGGATTCTTAATCATTTGATGTATTCAGCACCTTTAATCATCGACATCATGCCGAACTCTAAAGCAATATCTTTGGGGAATAGTGAATCATGGTTTCAATGCCATACATACAACTTTACAAAGATCATCATCTGCATGTCTTTCATTGCTATGACCATAAAGACTTGATATTATTACTTTTATTAGTCCTTATTGATTAATAAAGAAAAAGATAAAAAGGAATACGAAACTAATAATTTTAAACTTATTTTCGTCAATCTCAACAGTATTGAATAATAAAGAAGAAGACATGAGAAAGTTATTTGTGAAGAAAACGATAGTAATGAAAAATTTTATGGAATTAAAATCTGTTCTAGTTATATTAAGATACATGAAAACGAAAACAATTTCAACGATAGAATAATATGATAATAATATTTTGAAGGAATATGTTAGACATAATGGTGGTTGCTAAAGTTAGTTATTATTATCATATGTTTTATGAATTCCTTATTTTTATCACTATTTTAGTGAAAGTAACAAAAACACTCTTATTAAAAAAATTATATTCAATAAAAAATTTACAAATTTGAAACAAGATGTTTTAACAAAGTTATATCATCATAATAATTCGTTTTCTTTTTCATATTTCATTCATCATTAATATAGAAAAAAGTATAAATTGTTTTAGAAAGAAAAATCCTACAAAGTTTTTCTTTTCTTCTTGCTTTGGTCATATTATAAAAATATGATTAAAAAAAATTCAAGTAGAAAAAAGCAAAAACAGGAATATTTTGAACATTGATCATCACGAATCTTATCTAGTTCATATGCACTTTATTGATTCTAAGAATAAATGTAGCTTGATGTATAGAAGTATTTTTTTTGTATCAATGGTTGACATAAAATTCACTTTTTTTTAAAACTAATTTCATTTGTTCTCATATCTTGAACGTCATCTATGAAAGAATTTCTGGTTCTTTTCAAAACCAAACATGTTCAACGAAAAACTAGCTTGAGATTTATAAACACCTTGGTTCTTTCATTTATTTTAGTGACTTGTCTTTTTGGAATGCAAAACAAACTACCAGGAGGCGTTTACTGATCTTAAATCTTAAAGCAGAAGACGTCGATTACACAATCATTGTTCATTCTCAGATTACATAATGTGATCAGATCCGTCAATTAGAGGTGATCCTGTTTCTTCATTTAATTCTCATAAAACTGAAGGAAGATTTGCTGACTTAAAAAAGTAGTTGATCACTAATTATTTCTTTCAAATTGTCCATTTAAATAAACAATTGTATTTTAAATTTTGTGGGTGTTGTCTGTAGATCCGTTACACTTTCACACCCACACCGTTACGTATCCACTGTAGAGACGACCTATTGGTATCTAATATTCGTGTAAATTATTGAAGAGTGTGGATCTGATTTAGGATTGGTGATGACACTGATGTCGGTCTTCTCTTCAATTATACTGACACCAACTTACTTCTGCACGTTGAGTCCATATTACCCATTGAAATAAAAAGCTCTCGACTAATGCAATGTGACCAACATGTTTTTTCGAACAGATCATGCCTATTATTGTAGACCGTCAATTACAGTGCCAATACTAAAATGTTGACCACCGAAATATTCCGATACTTTGAGATATCAGACTTGCAAGGCCGACTAGTGATCGAAAATGCTCTGATTCGGACTAATCAAGCGTTCTCACGCATTTGCTCTATGTTCAGAGAAAAAGAAAACATTTGTATGATATGTTGGCATAAAAATGAAGCTCAAGTAATGCTCTACTCATGACGCTATGAACGAGCTCATTTATCTCTAATAACATCTCAAAAAACGCCTAAACCTCACTGTCGCACAACAAGAGACATTATTATAGAAATGGTCAGATTTGAAAGTGACATAGATACTCTTGATTTTTGATTAAACCGCAACATTACTATATGATTAGATCACTAGCTCATACGCTACGAAACTGGTTAGTGTTGATATTTATTTTTAGACAAAATAAAGTAATCCGAAATAAAATACCTATGCGAGCCGTGCTTGCTCACTCAGAGGGGCATGTGAAATTCTACCAAAAATACTTGTTAAATGTTTCATATCTGTATCTTCGATGCGCAAAGATTTTTCAAGAAGAACTGCTGGCACACAATCGACATGAGGCTTAAGGTGAGAACTTGACCTGTTATACCAAAGTTGCAAATATCGGAACTTAACTTTCACCGTTTGTAGTGCTCACGAAGTAGGCAATTTCGATACAAAAATAAGAAGTCTTAGTGATTAGTATTCCTGATGAGGCTTTTAGCAAGAACCGTCGTTTTTTATTGTGCTTCTTACAAGAAAATGACAGCGGTGAACCGAAATGCTTCATATCTGCATAGATTCGAGACCTTTCTCTTGAAATAGAATCTAACAAGACCACTGATTATATTCCATTAGGCGAGCTTCAAACAAGTAGCATTAAAATGTTTTTTCTTGTGCTGGACTCCATCGAGGATGAAATGTAGGAGGCGAAATGTTTTCAGGAATTTTAATCGGTGTACATATAGAAAAATCAATTGAAGTAATCTAATTACTTATTTCGTATTTGAAATCAACGGAACGGTCATCTTTCATCCTCTCTCTCTCCTAAGCATGAGTTTTAGGCAAAGAGTACTTGCGTAATGATCGCGAAGATGTGAAACTTTCTCGGATAGCCACACGATCTCTCGCTGGTGGCTTCGTCTAGTGATTCTGATAATTAGGATACCTATCAGAGATGGAACCGGTCTAGTTTTTTCAGACCGGTACCGGTACCGGTCCAAAACAATTAGACAGGACCGGACCGGCCGGTCTAGATCGGTTCGTCGACTGAAACCGATTTACCGAAAAAAGTTGATCTGACCGGTCTACCAGGCAGAAGTAGCCTACCGGTACTAAACAGGATGCTGATGATACGTCAGTTTATAAAAGAAAAACCGACCTACCGACAAAATATCGATCTACAGACAACAGGCTAAGGCTTGAAATGAAGTCTTGTTTCATAGTGAACTCTCTTGAGGACTACCTTCGTACTTTCACGCATACTGGCATAATGTTTTCCCGTTGATAACAATAGCCTCACTGATGGGTATTTTGAAAAATTTTTTTAAATAAATTCCTGTGTGATCAGTGGAACTAGTCTTGGTCCCAGTTGTTTTTTCATATGATTACCATCATAGAGCAGGAAAGTGAAAAATAGAGACCGGTTTAAACCGGTAGACTGGTCGATCCAAAGTCTAGACCGGTACCGAACCGGCCGGTTACCGGTACCAGTTCCATCTCTAATACCTATGGTACTTCCATCAAAACTTGGAGAAAGTCAGTGATTGTTACCAAAAGGATAGACAGTGTACGATTTTGGGCGACATCTATCCTTCATTTCATGATTTGGCTCATATTCAATTCGACAATCTTCAAGGAGGTATCAACGATTGACTGCCAAAGGTTCAAAGTTATCTACTAAATTTTAGACGAAATCTAACGATATCTGATGATGCTGATTGGGCACGTAAAGTGTTAATTTTGTGCTTGACCAACTTCTGCTCTGACCCGCGCATCCGCCCACAAAGTAGCATAGACCGATCGATACGCACACCTTCGCAATAATTAAACGAAGCTCTCAACACTTAATTCACAACCGTCACGTTCAACTTACTAAGCAATGAACAGCTCAAGAAGTCAGTCAACAATAGACAACAATTAAATTATTCTATTTTGGTTCGCTTCTAGCAATGAGTCGCAATCAACTCTAC